CACGAAGGAAAGGACTAGAATTTTTTCAAAGGTGATATTTGGGATCACCTCTTCAAGGGCTATCGACTGATGTATGCTTCATACAGATATATCATCTGCTGAAACTTTGAATTACCCGCGCCTTACTTTCAACTTCCTGGAATAAAGTAAACATAAAAAGCTGCTCTGATTCAAACTTTTCTTTACATGACTACCTACGGCTACGGCTTAATCAGGGCTGCTCCGCCGTTTGGTGTAATCTTCACCATTGTATCTGTTTTACAAAGATTTCTTTCATGTGTTTCTTCGTTCTCATGTTCTTAGCTTTGACAAACTATTTTTTTTAAACCTTTGGTAACGATTCAGTAGAAGACACATTCGCTCATATTGTACTTTAGTCTATTTTCTCACTGGTTATTTCCTTCAAAAGCTTCAATTTCATTCAATTTGCCTTTAGTCCAGATCAGGCATGCAACCATCCCAAGCTACGGCTCGCTGATCGGCAGCGAACATGTTCAGTAGCGAATCGTTCGGTGACCGAACATGTTCGGTAACAAACCGTCCGGTGCCGATCAGCGATTTCTAGTTTGGGATTGTTGCATGCCTAGTCAGATCCAGCAAATGTACTCTCCTGTGCGCACGGCAGTTCGGTCACTCAAGTACCCATAGAAGGGGCTTGCAAATCTTATTCTGTGCTCTTACTAGGTGTTTTATACACTTGTTTATGTACAATAAAGGTGTGTGACTGAAAATTACCTTGCATTTTAATTTGTAATATAGTAAGATTCAAAAGGACTATATTCATGAGACGCGCACATAAAGTTATGAAACTACCTGAGGCTGCCACTGTTGTGGAGCAGCTTGTATACAAGTCTTTTGAGCTGATGAAGAACAGCAGAGATCAAATTATTCTGTCAATATAATTACTAGTGTGCAAAACTAGTACAAGAAAATAAGTGTCTGAGTCCATGCAAATAAACCAAAAGCTACTTCGATTTCACCTGTTGTATATCGTCACTCACCATTTGATTGTCTGGATGAGATGGTGGGAGTGATTTATTTTGAATGACAAGACATTTCGTAAAATAGTCGAGAGCTGTCATCATATCATTCTTCTCTTCATACACACGACCGATCGAATGGAAAGTAGTAGCTACAGCCGGATGATCGGGTGGAAGTGACTTTAGATAAATCTGGAGACTTTGATTGTAACAATCGAGATCTCGGTCGTACTCTTTCTTGCTGAGATACACATGGCGTGTCTCCAATAAACTACTTTATGTAAGAGTGAGTCGACGGTAACACCTTCTTGTAGATGACAAGAGCACGCTGATGATAAGACAAGGCAGAATCATTATCTCTTTGCCGACAGTGAACATTACCGATTTCACTTAGAGTGGTGGCAGTGTCAATATGATCAGCAGGAAGCTTCGCTTGTTTTATAGTCAAATCTTTGTTCAAGTAAGAAAGCGCTGTTTCATATTCTTCTTTGAGCCTATAGACGAAGCCTGTCCCGAAGTAACAGTGAGCAATGTCGACTGTCCTGTGCATGTTGAAACTTCTTGTACAGTTTCACGGCTTCATTCAAATGATCGAGTGCAACATCACATTCTCCTTGTTCAGCACTTACTTCGCCGAGTCTTTCATGGCACAGAGCAACATTGCCATCATCATCATCGTTCAACTCATCCAATACACGAGTGTAGTACTGTTTCGCTTTCTCCAATTCACCCATTTCGAACAATACCCTAGCAAGTGACAGGAGACTGGCTTTTTGATCTCCACCACCAACATTCTTCTTCTGATGCTCATACATCTCCTTGATAGCTTGATCATCTTCATTACACAGTAAGCTTGACACACCATAATGTCTCTCTCTCATCGAACATGACATTCTCAAGTAGAAACACAGAGCCGAGAGTGAAAAGAACTTCTTTCTCACTCTGAAAGAAGCTGATGTCCCTGATATCAGCAAATGCACGAGTCTCGAATCGAGTGTCCACTTTGATCTCGAAGAACACACGCTGCAAAGTGTCAGAGAAAACAATCTGACGTGCAAACATCAGCGCCTCATCTTTGCTGAGACTTTTTTTGGAGAGCTGTTAAATGAAATCAACTGTCCTTTTCTCCACATTTCAACTTATTCATCTCTTCTGTCGCCAGTGCTTGACCACGATAGACTCGCATCGCATCTTTCTTCTTCACAGAATTAGAAAACAGCTAAACTTAGGGATTGAATACTGCGTTTACCTTCACTTTTTTTCAATATTTTGACATACAAAACAGTCCAAACTTGAATGTCCTCTCTTTCTTTCTTTCTGCGTTTTTTTTATTACTCTATAGGTAAGTTATGATAAAACGCTAATTTTAGGGAAAACTGTTTATATAGAATATCTATGCGGCACATCATCCTTATGGTCGAAAACGTATAGGAAATTATTAATAACTCTTTTTAAAATCATCATACCACGTAAACTATCTGTGGTACATTATGATGTGTGTCTCTTTGTAAAGCACATGAGATAAATATTTGAGTTGATCATAAGATCCACATTGAAAAACTGCAGATTATTATCAATTCTATTGATTTACTACGAAAAGTACTGTTAAAAGAAATCAAGAAAGATTGTATTCCTATATCATCAAACAGTTCATCACTTGTGTAATTTTTCACTTAATTCTTTTATTTTGTTTTGCTAAGAGATATTGTATTGACAACACTATTTATAATTGCAATCATTCCCGTTTTCGTTAGATCTCTAGGTGGTATCGATCTTTTCAATATTGTAAATATTAATCTAAAACCATTATTTCTTATTGGCTTTGTATTAAAATTTTTCTAGTTGGTTTAACACGTTCTTTTAGATTAACAGACATTTCATTTTCATATAAAAGCACGTATTGCTTTTTACTTATTAGGCTTATTCAAAGTGGCTAAAACATAATGAAAACGGTCACGGAATTTCTTTTTTTCATTCACTTTGCTCTTCCAGATGGTTACCGATTGAAAGCTTTTAACACATAAGAAATAATAATAACAAAGCACAGATAGAGAGAGGGAACAAGAAGAGAAAAACGCATACATATGTTAATGTGGGTCTGTCTGATTCGTTGTCTTGCACAAGCATCAAAATAATTTTGTTTCTTTCTCTCTGCGTAATCGTCGACCCTGACAAACTTAAAAGTGGCCAGCTATCTATCCAAAAAGTGTTCCAAAAATCGACTGTCACGTTTTCCAAAAATAAAAGATCAAAGTGTGTCCTTTATCCAAATTTCGATTATCTCTCTTTTAATTGCAAAGCAGCACATGAGATCTTCAACATATAGGTGATTAAACGTGGGAAGCATGCTGTTGAAATTATCTACAGAATTTATCAGTCTAATTAAATTCTTCTTTTCATTTCATTTTTTTTCGAACGCATGGCGGTAACGAATATTGTATCGTCATTTTCAACAAATTCCTTGTTGTTGTAATCAGATTGGTACAGTTACAATTTAACGGGGCTATTGATATTTACAACCGTGTCTCTTTCTTCACCTTCATTCACAAAATAGAAATCTCAAAACACAATAGAACCAATTAATAATTAGCCGGTCGTTTTATTTATCACTCGTTAAGCCATTCCTAATATCCATCTATCATTGATAACTATCTATGGTTGTAAACGGTCTAATGGAACTGACAGAAATCCTTTCAGTGAGATATTCGTTCACTGAATTTTCAATACCTGGCCTGATATTATTGCTGGTGTTGTTTTTTCATAACTGATCTTAAATATTAGGTTGAGGAAAAAGTTCGTGCGCCGTGTTAAAATAATGATTTTTTATATATTTTTTTTTGTGTTTTTGATCTGGTTTTGTGGCTATTATGAAAATTTATTGATT